ACACACACACACACACACACACACACACACACACACACACACACACAATGTACTTCCTGCTCCATATGACCTCAGTTAAATTATATAACATCTGACTTTGGCATGCGTCTTTTACACTATTAAAAGAAGGAGAATCATTTCCAAAGATAATACCGTAAAAGAGTTTAGAATATATTAACAGAGCAGCACTTGCATGGCTGTAACGGAAAGTTCACTCAAAATGGCAATGAAGCATTTTTTCTCTCATCCAGAATTGTAAGTATCCATCTAGGATTTGCTGAGATCAGAGCTGCAGATCATTTCAAGACAGTGGAACTTTGGCATTTGAGTCGAGTTATTCAAAGCGCCAAATATTTCAATTCAGCAGCAGCATATAATGGCACAGTTACACACAATAATCCACAGACGTTGCTGTGGGCAGCTTCTTTCCTTTTTTGATATAAATACAGTAGTTGGTAGCAATACTTTGATATAATGAAATTCTCAATGAAAGAGTTCAAAAGGTCTGTGTATTATTGTCAGTTAACGTGCCAGTCTGTTTTGAAAGAAAATTGGCTATCGAGCGTAGAGAATGTATTTTTTACGGCTTTGACTTTCACTTTAGATGCCACAATGCCACTACGGTCCACATGCAACCTACCACTGATTAAGCCAGATTTTGGTAAATTACACTGAAACTAACTTGATTGAGTGACAATGTCATATAAAAACAAATAAAAACTCAGATGTAAAAGTAGTTTTTGGTCTAAAATGTATAATGCCGTTAAATTTAAAGCACTTTAAGTCTGAAAACAAGCGTGTGCACACACTCAGCAGATCAAGATGTTTCCAATCAGAGAGCAAATACTTTCAGACTGTAATCATTATTCATAACATGGTGGAGCAGCACAGAGTTGCCGGTGAAATCACCTTTCCTCTGAGATGCTTGGATAACCATCATTAGCTTTGAACAAACGGGCAATTACTATCTGAATTGCAGTGTGAGGGAATATGTACTGTGTTTCGATCTTCCTCCGTCATCCCCTGGGCCTCAGAGACACTGAACAGCTTCACTCAACACTTCAGTCAGAGGAGTCTAGTCTGAGTCACTGGCCTATTAGAGCACAGACCGGCTATCATTGTCAGTGGCTTCGCTGCTGTTACTGCTGCTGCTGTTACTGATGCTGCTGTTAAATCTGGAAAATAATTCCCTTATGTATAACTTATATATTGATAAAGAAAACGTACACTCCCTGGCCACTGTATTACATACAGAGCCTACAATTTAATCAGAGCCGTTTATTGCCAATGTATGTTTCACATACAAGGAATTTGTCATGGCGGGTGGTGCATAACATTAAACAATAACATTAAACAATAACATTAACAATCAACACAGTGCAAGAAATAGAAACATTAAAATTGACAATAGAATATAAAAGAATATAAAATAAAGTGTACAGACAAACCGATAACAGTACTTTAAACAAGTGTAATTTAAGGGTAATGTAAAAGTGCTAAGTGTATTTAAATATGAAGGGATGTGCAGGGGAGTGCCCGGGGAAAGCATGAGAGAGACATGAGAGATTGCCGAGCAGGATCTGGAGGACGCAGGGGACGCTTGAGTGATGGTTAAGTACTCTGCCAATTTAGGTGGCTTCTTCAGCACAACAAGGCAGTGACAGAGCTGCGTCCTTCTGCTCCATACTGTATTTTGTTTCTGACAGCTGATTTGAAGGCACTATATGGCATCAAATATGTTAGACCTACTGGGACCACTTTTGGCCAGTTTGGCAGGCAGATCATAAACAGGCAGCAGGTCAAAACCCGGGTAGCAGAAAGATCAATGATGTAACCGTGATTTGGGAATGTGAACAGGTGAGCACGTGGACGTGGGAGTCAGGTGACCAGGGATGGTGGGACAGTCTGAGTGCATAATGTGGACAGGTGGAGAACGTCAGGTCTTGAAAGTTCCTCTGAAATATGTGGGCCATGGGAAGGTAATATTTAGAAACACTCACTGGCTCTTCCCATCACCAGATGTAAAAGGTCTAACAATGCTGAACAAATAGCAGCAATGATGGAGTTAGTAGATATTGCAGCTCCCTCCTCTGCAACAGTATCAGCTATTCTTTCGACTAAACAGTAAAGATTTGTCCCTTTTACACATCTTTGTATGGTGCAGTGAAAAACAAACAAAAGCATATGAAATTAGACCATTAACTACACAAACCCTTTCTCTATCCATAATCCAATTTGGCTAGAGGACATTGGACTGTGTGTGTGTGTGTGTGTATGCCTGCCTGAAATAATGATGAGATGTGATGTGAAAATGTTATGCTTCACCACAGCCTTCAGGCCAACGAGTCTTTTATAATAATTTCCAAAGAATGCATCATCATGCAAAATCATCCCTGAACATTGCGTGTGCGACACCTATACTGACGGGCCAAATTCCTGGCTCTCCCATCATTGACCATCAGCTCATCTGGAAAGCTTTAAATAAGCACGCTGCCATTCCTCACGGCAGCGACCCACATGGCATCCGTCGCGCAGCTATCCCAACAAGCAACAACAGACAACAGCCCCCTTTGTCTTGCTGTCCCCATGCAAAGCGAGGGATCGGCTGATGGGGTCAGCTGTGGAGCACAACTTGTAAACTGAAGAAAAGAAGAGAGAATCAGGCCCCCTGTCGTAAAACACACAGAGACAACAGAGAAACAGGTGAATGTTACACATCGCCATGGATGTTGGGTAGAAAATGTGTCGCCTGTGGACTGTGTGTGTGTGTATGTGTGTGTGTGTGTGTGAATGCTTGTGTTAATCACTTTGTGGGGACAAAGATCGGTTCATCATGGGGACCCACCTCCCATTTGTAGACAAAAAGCAGTTAGTCCCCACAAGGTTTAAGTCCCCCTGCAATGAATAATGTATTTTGCTTATTGAGTGACATTAGAAGACTGTTTTCACATTCATCTGCTTGTGAGTTTCTCTTATGCTTAGAGTTAGATTAGGGGATTGCTTCCACTCTTGAACAGTGATTATGAAGCTACTAGGTAATGGAAGTTATTGTGGAAAAAACATGTTACAATTTGTCATTCAAAGCAGAGTCTTAAAATGTGTCTGGAAGGGATCTTTGATGATTTACTTTGGGGTTTAGACTTAAGGCAGAGCTAGGGTTAGGATCAAGTGGTTATGGTCAAAGTTAAGGTAAATCTCCAAAGTAAGAAAGTAAATCAATTTTCCTAATCTCTCTATTCATTGATGCCTTTTTATGGGTCACAGAGATTATACACTTTTCACTCACCCACCCTATACCACGGATGAAACTACTTCGCTGCTCTTGTATAAGAATCTGACTTAACAAGAGCGCAGTGTCTCTATTACTTCAATAAGAATCCTGGTCTCAGTTCTGTCAAATAGATTACAGGAGGAATGTGGAACAAAATGGGTTTCTGTGTTTCGATCCTGATGCAGCAATCTGTTCGTTCGTTGTTGGCTACAGGAGCCATGTGTCTTTAGCGGAATCGGAATCACATGTTGACTGTAAAGGGATCAAAGTGGAGAATCAGATCATGACAGACATTCTGGCAAAATGGTTAAAATAAGGATTTGTGTTTATTTTAGCCTGCGTGTTGCTGAAATCCCTCATCAAATTACATAAACATTTGGAGACAGATGTTTAGGCACTTTTCCTTTGCTAGAAAGTAAAGAAAATGAAGCTGATAATTTGACAATTTCGTCATCTCATCAACTCTGTTTGTGCTGTAACTCCAGTAAATGATATCATCAGTATTCTACTATAGACTTACTTTTAAAGGCACAAACTTTCCCTCTCTCATACACACACGCACATGCATGTTTTATACACAAATACACACCGGTAAAACCATCAATTTCAGCACCACTGAGTGTGTGCAACTTTAGCTGGCCCAGGCTGCTCTACCAGGCCAGTCGTTTCAAATGGGAGTGGTCCACTCCCAGGGGAGGGATGTATCCAGGACAGGTTATAAGATATGTGGTCTACAGTGGCCCTCTAGGGACATATAGAACTGGGGCCACATTGTTCAACGGCATCATTGTGCACGAGGGTTTCCCATGGATCAAATGTTACAGACTTCAAACCCAGGGGTCTCAGCGCACTCGTAGATGTTGTTCAATGGGCACGATGGGAGACGAGGCTGTTCACACGCCGTTTCTCACTCATCTGAATGAGGCCACGGTGGACATTGTCCCGGTGGCTTGTCGTGCTAGACGCATGGATTAGAACAACTTGGACCGAACTCTGAGAAGAAAGAAAAAGAGTAAAGGCAACGGAAGAGACGGAGGAGGTCTAGACATTCAGTAACAGTTGCAGACTGGGCTCAGAGGCAGAGTTTACCACACTGGAAAACAAACTTGTTGTTCACCAACAAGGAATCTCTGCTCTTCCACAATACTGAGCCAAAGTGAGCCAACTTTGAAAAGACAGAGAATCACGGCTTAATAGGATCATTACTATTAGAGACAATTAAATCTTGAAACCAACAGTTTTCTCTACAGTGTCACAAATAGAAGTTCAGAACTGGTGCATGCTTGGACTTCTACAAAGTTTATCAGAATGCCATCACACATCTCAAACATTCCTGGTTATCTTTAATATGTGCCCAATACAGTCTTTTAATGATGTCATCTCTCTGGATATTAGGTAATCTTTACCTTCTTCATTGTCGGAGTGCTAAATATTAATTGGTTGCGATAGATATATCGGATTGTCTTGCCAGGTGCAGTGCTAATTACCTCAGTCAGATTCACCTGTGTCTTTGCTGTACGTAACTGCAGAGTGGTGACTCTGCTGAAGGCTGGGTGGCTGAAAACAGTTTGTTGTCTTGTCTTTTTCTCACCGTTGAACTCTACTCTGTCCGGTTAGCACTGAATCTTGGAGAGGACAAGGCTTTGGTACAAATGAGGCTTGAGTTTCCAAAATAATCTGTGCCCCATGATGCCAAGGGGAGTGACCAGAAACATGACCGATGTGTTTGAGGCCCTCAAAGATTTAAATATGACACCCTTCTTTTTTGTGTCATAAACAACTGGCCAAAGAAGCCAATCTTTTTGAAAATAAAGGATGAAAGTGCTCAATGAGAATAGAATAAAAAAGAGCTGACAATAGCGTGAGGGAGAGACAGCTATTATCTCACCACAGTTTGGTTTCGGTGTCACTTCTAAGCTCTGTGGGTCTGAACTAGCTCCTTCAGTTTTTTCCTTTTTGGTTGTATTCAACTATAATTATTGTTTTCTCCTAACGAATGACAGCCTGAACTGTTAGAATTAATAATCATGACTATGATGAATCAACACTATAATCAGCAGCAGTAGCACACTGGCATTAAGAGCAATGGTTTCAGTATTCATCATACTGGAGTTATGCATTTTGATGTTAGTTAGTTAGTTAGTTAGAAGATGTGGAAATATTCTGCTGCAGCACTTAAAAAAAGAAAAGAAAATTCAACCGATTTGTCTGTGTCTTATAGCCTTGAAAGAAATTAAATTTTTTGTTACTAAAAAAATGACTTTAATTTTTCTAAAAGTATTGAATTTCTAAAAGTATAAGAAGGTGCATTTGTCAATCTTTGTTGTCTTTGTGTGACGCTGAAGATGCTAAAGGACAAATTCATTACCTCCATCTAGTGGTGGAAAGTGTTCAATAATAATTTAGAAATATTCAGTGTTATCATTCTTGATACATCTCACCTAACAGATACGTTCACTTTAGCAGAAGAAATGTCGGAAGAAACAAAATCAGTGCTGGGTCAGATTAACACCATGCCTGTCACTACGTTCAGTAGTTAAACGGAGACTACATTTCCCAGTATGTATGAACATGAGTGGACTTGTCTGTCATGCACCTGTCTGTGTTTGTGTTCGGTGTGAGTAGTGAAGAGTGTTTGTGTGATCCACAGAGATTAAGCTCAATTCAAAACTGAAGCAGAGTAACGATCTAAGAAAAACAGGATAATTCTACATTTGGATTAAATCTCACTCACAGATCTTTATCACAGAGAATACTAAGGATATAATTAGGGCATTAGGGTCTGAATGGTCACACAGTTTATTACGCTAATCCTAGAGCCAGAAAGAGAGAGATAGAAGGGGTTAAAGTGAGAATGTAGGTTGACAGATGGCCCCACTAAGTACCTGCTAATGCAGTCAGGTTTTATCTGTCCTGTGACTGTCTGAATCCAGCCCTGCAGAAACAAGACGGAGGCAAAGCGTAATGTAACAGAGCAACAGAGTTCCCATAATTGAGTGCTGATCTACACTGAGTGTAATAAAACAGATTTATGAACCGGATGGAGTTGATGGACAATCTTCTACTGGACTGGCCAGAATCTCTGGACATTTTTGGGTCAGTTTGGTTGGAGGCACTCGGTGGGTGCAGAGCGGTTGTAGACTGGTCTGTTTGTCTGAATCTTGTAGAACATCTTTGTCTGGACCTGATGAGCCAGATGGACATTTTACTGGAGCACCGAGCTGTGTGCTTCAACATGCTGGGCCCTCTGTACGCCGACGACCCATATGTGTGGATGTTCCTCAACTGAAAAGGATCGAAGATGTTTGTCTGCTTTTTTTTCCCCGAAGTTTGTCGGCTGGAAAGCATTTAGAACACGAGGTAAATCCAAAGCTTCCCATCATAGACTGAGTGCACAAGATCAACAGTGTGGGAACATGATTTGATTTCTGTATTTGCTATTTATCTAACTTCATCAAGACAATCATCTGTTGGCTGCTCATGACTACTGGAAGAAAATCAATTTTTATTTGAACTGAAAGCGAATTTGGAGATCATCACAGGATTTAAGTGTGTGTGAATCAGGTCTGAAATAATAAAACATCCTAATGCTGAAAAATCCTTCTGCATAATTGTGTAGTGTCACAATTCAAAGTGTGGGAATCTGAATGAGAAGAGAAACAATATTTTGTGTCATTTTAATAAAATATGTGATAAAATCTGCCAAAAAATGTTACATCCTGAAATGATTGTCTGCTTTAGAGTTATATAAGAATGTATGATTAAGAATGATAGTTTTGCAGTGTTTTGCAGCTCATGGAACATCTAGGAGGTCGATATCATCTCCACAGTATATTTCTGTATGTGGAGTATTTTCTTTTTGTATGCACATACATTTTAAATATATTCAGCATATATATGAACAATAATTGTGATTGTACATGTATTTTACCATATTCAAATGCAGTGGTGAAAGAAGTACTTGGGGAATATGTGGCTAATTAACATATATTTCGTAAATATTACACTGCTGTGTAGCTTGTGGTTTTCACCTTGGGGATCAATGAAGTCTCACTGATATATAATACATTATAATTATATATAAATATATAAATATACTTAGGTACTTTCTACCACTGTTCAAATGTGGGTTGGTGGGTTACTATGTCACTGTAATACCTGTTTGGCTGTCGGAGCACTATAGCAGTGGCGGTCCCTGTGCCTGGTTTCCTGTTTGAGACACGCGATTGCTCGCCTACATTACCCAGAACTCCTTGCTGCGTCAGAAAAGAGCGCATGCCTTTTGACCGTTACGTAATGTAGTTTCAAAGGTTGTGTACATTTGTCGGACTTCATGTCTCAGGAACGCGATCTGGCAGTAAATTCAGACCGTTTATTGCTTGACAAGCTTCAGCCCGAGAGAAGAAATTCAAAGGTAAGAATCACTTCCTGTTATTAATTGAATCACGGACTGTCTGTGCACCGATTGGTTATTAAGCGATGATTAACAATACGAGACCACAATGCGCTGTCCGGCTGTTGCCTAGTCCTGCTTTGTTGTTGCTTTTTCAGGATACAAACATGACCACAGCGGCTGGATGACTGAAATACTGAAACTATTGAGCGGTCACCACAATTCAGCTCTCGGTAGCAACAATAGATTACATTTCAGATGGCTGCTTGAACAAACGTCAAAGATATAGGTCGATGGGCTGACAAGTCATACAAGTAGCCTCCAATAATATAGAGCCGATTTTTAAAGGAACATTTCATTATTTTCTATTTATTTAAAACACTATTAGACAACGCTGTATGTTTTCATGTTTGAAAGTCAAACTACTAATGTTACTGTTCAATTACAAATACAAAACTAACCTCTTCTATATGTACCATTTCAGTTGTAGGCTTGTGTACATTTCCTTTGATATCCATTCATTGCTTCTCATGGAAAAACAGTAACACTCTGGCTTTACAATTAACAACCGTGAAGATCAAATCTGCGTCAGTTGTTGCTACAGTTACACAAATGCAAATTTAAAAAGCTTGCACTTCATTATGTTATAACGTTACACAAGTCTGCTAAAAGATGTTCACAAATTAATGAAAGATCTGGATCAATAGAAATAATATATTCAAGTTTCAAAAAACATAAGCATTATTTGTAGAAGGATTAGCTTCAATGGAAAGCACATGTGATTGGCAGTAAATGGGCTAAAACATGTGAAACCACTGGAATGGTCCTTTCATTTCTTTTTATCTCCCAAACAGTTTTCTGCCTCATCTCCTTTGATCTGTCTTCTCTATCAGTTAAAATATTTTCCTCATATGTCCTTTCCCCCTGCTCTCTGCCTCCTCACCTCCTTCACTCATACCGGTGTCATGTGTTTCTCCGTGTTTTCCACCAGATAAGAGCTGACATCCAATCGGTTTGTCTCTGGGTGTCTCTCCCTCCCTCCAGTGTGTCATCATGAGTTCTTGACGTTTGTCTCTTCATTCGTGTCAGTATGAGCGGTGCTGCGCTGGCTGTTGTGGTGGTAGTTGTTTTCCTCTTGGCCTTCTACCTCCTCCAGCGCTATGGAGATTTGCGGAGGCAGCAGCGGATGGTCCTCTTGGGGACGCTGCTGTCCTGGTACCTCTGCTTCCTCATCGTCTTCATCCTGCCGCTCGACGTCAGCACGGTATGAAACCACTGCAGCTGTTAGAAGTGTGTGTCAACGTGAGGTCTTTCTGCCTCGGTAACCATAATTGCTTGGATCATCTCAGGATCAAAACAGGATCAACGAGATGTGAGCTTTGAGAACAGTCTGCGTCGGAGTGAGGTTGAGCTCTGTGTGTTTACATATCTGGCCTCCGGCGTCTTACCTGTACCAGTGTAACGTGATGAATAGGCTTCGTCATGGAGCTGACTGTGTAAACTCTGCTCCTCTTTTAGACCATCTACAAGCAGTGTGTTCATGACAATGCAAACCACCCTACTCCTGTAACTGGAGCGAGACGCACTAATCAGAGAGATGACAACTCCTCTGTTCATCCAACTGTCAGGTAAATGAGATAACTTTTGATTTACTGGCACAGTTTGCTCATTTCAAGGTACTGTATTCCTACCAACATGATGCACAATATGTATATTGTTTTGGCTTAGGGCTGGGTGATGTGGACAATATCTTTTATCATGATCGTCATTTCATATATCAATCCCATTATATATCACGATAAAGCATGTTTACTGGTAATTCGATAAATAAATAGTCTATATGAATGATTTGTAAACTCTTGTGTGAATCAAATGATTGACAAATAAAAAGCACTGAGTATTTTCTCATTTGATGAAGAACCTTTGTGTAAAATTATCATATTTTTTTCTGAGAAATTTGAGTTATTTGAGTATTGTTGGTATAATCTGTCCAAGTTTCGAGACATGAAGTTGAATGAAATTCTATTCATGTTGCTCACAGAATTCAAATTACATTTATGATATTAAGCAGCAACATGTCTTTCCACAAACAGCGTCTAAACTGTTTTTATCGATTGATTTTACTTCACATTGAAACGTTTATTTCAGTAATTTGGAAACTAAGTGTAGGATATGAACTTTTACTAACAAAGTGTTAGTATCCAAAAAGACTCGACAGCAAGGCTCATCACTGCAGTTCAAAGTGTTCTTGCAACGTGTATGCTCACATTCTTTTATGTGTTTGTGTTACAGTGTACCGAAGCTTTGTGAGGAGCCGTGGAGTTATATACCCGATGGCATCCTGCCAGTGTTCTGGAGAGTTGTATACTGGACGTCCCAGTTTCTTACTTGGTAAGCTACTCAGTCACTTATTTGAACTTCAACTATACTGTAACTGCTGTGTCTGCCACCTTTTGTTATAAACATAATTGTGTTTTGGTATACTGACTCTGTCCTATATGTGTGTGTGTGTGTGTGTGTGTGTGTGTGTGTGTGTGTGTGTGTGTGTGTGTGTGTGTGTGTGTGTGTGTGTGTACAGGCTGCTGTTGCCTTTCATGCAGTCTTATGCACGGTCGGGAGCTTTCTCCAGAGTTGGAAAGATTAAAACAGCTCTCATTGAAAATGCTATCTATTACGGCACCTACCTCCTTATTTTCATCTCTCTGCTCGTCTACGTGGCCGCTCACCCACAGTGGCAACTCACATGGTAAGTCATACGTACCTCAATTTAAGAAATATTAGATGTTGTTAGACTTGTGGACTAAAGTTCTTCTGTGGTGGTTTTTATGTCATTGATTTATCTGTAAAACTTGTGCAGGAGAGAGCTCCAGACCATCGGCATTACAGCCGCAAACACCTGGGGCCTCTTCCTTCTGGTGCTCTTGCTAGGCTATGGCCTAGTGGAGATCCCGCGTTCTTATTGGCTCGCATCTTCCCATGGTTACCTGCTGGCCAAGACCTACTTCAAGGCAGCCAAAATGGCTACTGAGAAGGTGTCGGCGGAGGAGAACCTGGCAGATGTTATGGAGGTGAGATTTTATGTACAATTCTGTACAGTAGAAGTATTAAGAGATTCCAGCAGGTGCTGAGACTGAAAGTGTTTCAACAGACTTTGCGTGTTTGAAAATCTTAATTTTGTTTTTCTTACTTTAACAAGAACAAACATATTTGTTATTATCAGGAGGTGGCAGGCGTCCATGAATCTGTCAGGTGCAACCACTGTCTCAGGAAGTGTGTGGACACCATAATTACAAAGGTGAGAAATACACGAGTAAGTTTAATGTTGTATTTACAGAGTTTACAGTCAGGCTCTGTGGGAAAGTCTTCATCTGAGCGTCATCTCATTTCAGTGTCCCACTGAGTACAAAGAAGAGATGGGAAGAACTGTGGAAAGCTCTTGTGGTGAGCAGAATGTCCTTCCCACCAAAAGAGGCTTAATTAAGCTGCATAAAAAAGTAAATACTTTTTTGAACATTGCACTATGGTTTTAAAGGAAACCGTCGGTGCATGTAGTAAATGTGAATTATTTGGGTGTGTGTGTTTGTTTCAGGTAATCTCTGCAGTGCAGAGACACGGTCAGACTCAGGTTAAGTGGTCTATGTTGTTAGATGAGGCCTTTCATCGAGAAGATGTAGCTAAAAGCCAGAGCTGCCCAGTCCGACACTTCATCCACGGCTCCCCGACAGAACACCACAGCGGCTGGATCCGTCGGTTCATCTACACTCCTACTGTGGGTGAGTTCAGTCAGGACCAAAATCTGAAATTTACAGATGGAAAGGAAGGACAGTTTCTCTGTTTTTGCACATTTTGTTTTATTTCAATAATAGAACCCCAGAATTTCCCTACTTCAGTTGCATTAGTGGGTTGGGTGTCACTGCCTCAAAGAAGCTGCTAAACTTGAAATAGTTTTTTGATTTTTCCTCCAACTGTGTGCGTGTGTTTGTCCGTCTCAGAGTGGTACTGGGAGTGTGTGTTCAGGCAGGGTTTCTACAAGCTGCTGGCAGTTCTCCTGTGTCTCCTCTCAGCAGCAGTTGTTTGGTCCGAGTGCACCTTCTTCACTACACACCCGGTCCTCTCCCTCTTCGCTGTCTTCGTTCAGATGGCTGAAAAACAACACAACTACATTTGTATCGAGGTGGGCACGTATTGAGAAAAAAAATGCACAACAAACCCGAGCTTCACTCGGCTCAAGAAAACAAACACCCACCGTGTCCGTAGTCGGCAGAAAATTCCATAGAGCTAACGTGCCTCATGTCTCTACTTGTTTTGTTTCTCTCCACCAGATGGTGTGCTTCGTCAGTATCCTCTTCCTGTGTGTCTGTGTCTACTCCACAGTGTTCAGGATACGAGTCTTCGACTACTACTACCTGGTGCCACATCACCAGACTGATGCTTACAGCCTCCAGTTCAGCGGCATGTATGTTCCACATAAAAGTCATAATAAAATATGTTTATTTCACTTAAGAGGCATTCTGAAACACAGTTATTTGTTTGACATCATCCTAAACTCCAGCACATTTTACAGTGAACAGCACACAGTTCAGTCTGGTCTTCTCGCATTGTGTTAAACTCCTGTTTTGTGATATCGGGGTTGTTTCTCTTTTGTTTTTTCCCTCTCAGGTTGTTTTGTCGTCTGACCCCTCCTTTATGCCTTAACTTTCTGGGCCTGATTCACATGGACTCCGCCATCTCACACCAGGACAGAATACAGACATCCTACACCTCTGTGGGTCACACACAAACATGCCCATAACAACACATTCATACTGACAAAGATATATAATGCACTTGAGTGTGTGATCACAAAATCTATATATGTAGACATGTCAAAATATTTTTGCATTCAAACCAATTGGAGTGATGAAATGACCCTCTTTATTTCCCTCTGTCAGATCATGGGCTCTATGCGTGTGCTATATTTTATATCTGATGGCTTCTACATCTACTATCCCATGCTGGTATTGTTGCTCTGCTCTGCCACTTTTTACAGGTAAGTCAATAATCACTGACAACTAACACTATTTTCATTCATGTGTAGTTTTGGTTATATGTTTGAGCTCATTGATGATAAATCGTTATCACTGTGTCTGTGTTTGTAGCCTGGGCTCTCGCTGTTTGAACCTCCTAGGCTTCCATCAGTACATCACTGATGACCACTTGACCTCTGACCTGGTGGATGAAGGCAGGGAACTCATCAGAAGAGGTAGTTTCATCACACATTCAGTCACTCACTATTTCTGATGTTTCTGCTGAAAGTTGTAGTATTCTTTTTATTATTTCTTTTGAGCCACTTTATTGCAGACTTGATTCAATATTTCTTCCTCTCTTCAATCTAGTGAACATATTAGTTATTAAGCAAGTTATGGGTCAGTCTTTTACTTTTACTGTTTATTTCTTATACCTCAGTTCACATTAAGTTGTTGCTGTTGTATATCTGAAAGTCATCATGACATCAGTGCTCACTGCGTTTCAACAATATGAACTACAATGTGTTCTTTTGTAGAAAGAAGAAAAAGACAGAAAGCTGAGGATGGAGAAAATCGAAGATGGGTTAGAAAAGTTTTTTTCTATCAAATAATTTCTTATACAATTTTCTTAAAAACCAAAAACACCCTCCCAGTGTGTTGGCTTGCTGTTTTCTATTGTTTTCTATAAGTGTTGCCAGGTATTTATGGGCCTGTTTTGTTTGCTGTTTCAGGCCTGGACAGAGCGGTATGGAGTCCAGGGGGCTACTGGGCGAACCAGAGGTGGTTACACTGAGTTGAAGGATGACCAGAGCAGACCTGTCACAGAGATCAATAGTAGTGGTAAGGATTAAAGAAATAGTTTCTGTGTTTCTCACAGCTACTGAAAATAATATGACAATAAGGGTTTTTCCAACAGCTTGATTTCATATTTGATGCTTGTTTGTGTTATGCTTTGTTTCTGGATAGTTTGCCACTATACTTTCACTTATGTCCATCAAGAGGTCTGCCTGCTTACAGTACACAGTGTAGACATTGCTCTCTGTCTTTCTCAGTTATCACATTCACCAGAAGAGATGGAGAGGAGGAGGAGCAGAAGAGAGGCTTACTGCGAGATAATTCCAGCGATGAAGGCTCACCAAACAGAAGGTTTGTTTATTTTTTTGGTATATTATTTGAACATAGTGTTTAATTGGAGCTGAATAACAATCAAACAGGCTTCCTTAATCGCATACTCTATTTCTCTGTTTCTGACACTGTAGATCCACCGGAGGACGTTACCTTTCTCTGTCACCTTCTCGGACAGGCATCTTTGACGATGTTTGATGGAGAAAAAAAGACTAAAAATGCACGTCTTCTTAGGGAAAGTCTGACTGCAAAGGATTATACAGTATCTCAGGAAATAAAGAGGAAGATACAATCGGGCAAAACCATTATTCACTGAAAGAGAGCACTGACTGTGATAAACCTGTTTGTGCAAAGCCAAAACCATTTTCTGTGAAGCGTTATTGGTTTTACAAGCATAGATTGATGGATAAAAGAGATGAATGGCACAATTACACACCTGCAGCAATTTGGGATAATCCACATGATACATGTGGAAATGTGCTGTTGTCTGAGTATTTAACCACACAGGTTCACACATTTTATTTTTTTAGGAAAACAGGTCACTGTGCAAGCTGTGAAAACAAAAGAAAATGACTACTGGTATATGTACTGAAATTGAAGATATCAACACCCTAATCGATTTTATGTTGTAGTTTACAGTCAATTATTTTCTGTAAGGGTGTGTATGTTTTGCATTTGTGTGTCTACCAAGATGATGCATTAAAACATAATAATTTTACCCACTTCTGCAATCTTAATTAGATGATGAATGACTTCAATTTGATGCACCAGCACATAAGAAGCTCTATCTTTTAAGATCTTCGGTTGATATTATAAAAAGTAGTGCAAATGTCTCAAAAGCTATTTAAACTTCAAGTTCGGGTAAGGCTAAATGAAAAGTAAAACAGTGTTTTAATTATTTGTTGTATTTTAGATTGTGGATTTGGTTTTCATTTTAACCAGATCTTACAGAAGGACTTGTGTTGGAGAGTGCCCGTGCTGCCTTCCAAAGCTCTTCGTAAACTATACAACTCTGGGATCACTAGTCGACAAGCTTAACTCTTAAAAGATCGACTGCAACAGTAATGCCATACTCTTATTTTACTGTAGAAGTCAATCTTACCTGTGTAGTAAATGTATGGGAATATAAATTGTATTTAGGTTTTATGTGTGTTGTACCAGTACAATTATCTAAAACGCCCTTTTCCTACAGCAAGCAGAGGCAGCACCTGACTGTCCCGCACAGGCACAACACACACACACACACAGAGGGACTCTGCTGTTTGTGTGGCAGTAATGGGTACGAGCTAACTGACGAGCGGTAACGCGCAGACAATTGCTGGAGAAACGCTGCCAGATTGTCAAATATATCCCTAAGTATCACTCTATATACTGGGCTCCACATTTAACTAGTTCATCTGTGGCGACTCTCGAGTCTTCCTGGTACTAAGTCGATTCTTGTTGCTAGCGTTAGCTAACCGCTAACCTCACTAAAGCAAACGTCAACTGGGGACAAGGTATGCTTATCTTTTGACTCGAGACAGTAAAACAGATTATGTTTAGTGTGGTGGAACATAATCTTCATTAACCTTCTTTGTCGTTTTGTCTTATATATTTTTTTATTAGAAATTGAACTACAAACGTTCATCTTCTGCAAACTCTTAACCTATGTCTGTGTGATGGCCGTTAACACGAACGCTAGCTCCTATCTGGCACCTTTTTGGCTAACCTTAGCTGTTTAATGTTAGCAGTTGACCAAAGAAAGATGGAGCTCAGTTCGGAAACTAACGGTACCTGTGCGCGGTTAAGGTAGCGTTATAACCTGCTAACAGGCCTGCGCTGTGGTCTGTTAGCACACTCGGTATTTTATTTTCTCCCCAGTGTTTGTCATCTTCAGCTGAGGTTGACTCCCTTGTGCCCCGCGGCTGTGTGACAACACGGGGAGTCATGCGTCGACGTTAATGTAAACACTGATAACTAGCTAGGTTATTACCAGACATCTTTGTGTCCACTGCTACGTTAATCTGTGATACATCTGCATAATGTCGCTAAATTACGAAGTAGATTAAACTATTCTTAACAGTTCTTTGCACCTGGGTCTTGCCTGCATTTGCATGATGGGAAGAACCCAAGCATGAGTATACTTGTTGTGCTTTAGCACCAATGAGCCACTGGGAGCACTACAATGTGCACTTGTGTGTTTTTTAAATGTGGTCTTAATATTGTGCACATTTAAACAAAGTTGCACGTATATCGTATCTTTAAAGAAATTGCTAAACATAATATGTCTATATGAACGGTTAACATTTACTGTATTCTGTGTTTTCGCTGACACCGTGAAAATATTTGGTGGTGTGACATTACCTCCATACAAGCAGAAGCAGCTCACTGCTGCTTGCAGGCTTGGACTATTTGAAACGGCTGTAGACTCCTTCAATGACTTTAGCCATGTTGTCAGCAACAGCTAGCCTCATGCCAGCTGACCATTTTCAAATAGTAGATGTAATTCAGGGGGGTCACCAACAGAAATGACTTGTTTTAAACATGTAATTGCACAATTCATGGAAAGCGAGCTGACCCTGGCTGCGGTTTGTGTGTGTCCAGTTTGTAGACAGCTATGGGTGGTCTGGGAAACGGTCGTCGTGGAGGAAGGTCCCCCCCTCTAATGATTGGGGCTCTCATTGCCTGTATCCTGGTTCTGGGCTTCAACTACTGGGTGTCAAGCTCCCGCAACCTGGAGCTACAGGTAGGTTCATGTATGTGTGTGTGTTTGTGTGGTTCTCTAACCGTAGTGTACAGTGCAAATATACCACGTGCCTTTTGTTGGAAATCATTACCTATCAATTAATTATTCTCTCTCAGAATAGAGATTGCAATATCAGTTTCTAGCTTCTTACATTTGCCTGAACGAAAAGTCTGTGTGTTTAAAGTTCACATGCCGTATAAATATGAAAAACATCTTCATATTAGCAGACCAATGCATGATTCCCATTTGCAGATGTTAGATGGGCCTCATCAGTTCCTCTTTTGGTCTTCAGTCTTTTTATTGTAATTTCACAACTTTCAAAACACATCCTTTAATGCAAGTCACTATTAGCCTCTAACTTAATGGGTCGTGCTTGTATGCACTGTGGAACAAGAATATATTTATGACCCAAATATTGGTGCCGTTTGTAGAAACCTTTGTGTAATTGTTGCTGATCTCTTTTTTTCCTGTCTTTGGTATAAGTGGCATAAAGAAGAAACTCACAGCCAGCGTGCATTATATTTTGTCATGGTGTCATTGGTTTTTATCACTAACCATGTCCTTACCTGTTGTCCTTGCGCGTGCGATACAGACTAAGCTGTATGAGTTGGAAGGCCAGGTGCGACGTGGAGCAGCAGAGCGAGGAGTAGCGGAGATGAAGAAGAATGAGTTCCAGGAAGAGATCCAGAGACAGAAGGACCAGATCAGCCACTTAGAAAGCCTCTATAAGAGACAGCTGGAAGGATCTCAGAACACCTGCAGCCAAGAGAAGGTGCACACACAATGACAAAAAAGTGATGGGGGGGCAAATCGTACCTTTCAAATATTGTCTCTAAACTATTCACACAGAGACATTTTGGGGGCCTGGATTTAGCTCACTGTTGTGGTTCACTCTAAACTCACACATTAATTAAAGGAAAAAAAACGAACTGTGAATATTTATAGTTTCTGTGTTTCTTTAATTCAAGGGCACACTGCAGCAGAACATTTCCTCCAGTACCAGAACCATACAGGAACTCAAAGGCAAGTCTCTCTCTCAACTCTTTCTCACAAATTGCATTGCAAAAACAATGATAATTCACTTCTTATGTGTCTCTTAATGACCTTTGTGTGTCTGTGCTGTAGGTCAGTTGAATCAGCTCAACGATGACCTGGGAAAGCTTCAGAAGGAGCTGCAGAGTTGCCAGGGCAACATCAAAACCCTCAACAACAAACTCACGTATGACATGTAAGAAGAAGATTCCTTAAATCAATCATATTCATACAGGTCTGTTTAAAGGAGATCAAGATGAATCAACATTTGTGTTAATCGCAGCCCTCTTGAAATTAATAATTGATAACCACGATTATAAGCTCAGCTTTATTAATTGCCTCAATGTAGTGAATTTGTGTCTGTCATTCCTGGTTGACGTGTCTGTGTGTGTGTGTGTGTGTGTGTGTGTGTGTGTGTGTGTGTGTGTGTCTCTGTGTGTGTGTGTGTGTAGGACCCATTGTCAGTCCCAGGTCCTGTCCCAGAAGGAGTTGTGTGACGAGAGAGTGGCCGCTGCTAAACTTGAAGTTCAGAAGAAAATTGAGAAGCTCATCTCTCCCTCAGGCGAGGTGTGTTGGTTTCCTGTTTGAACCACGTGGAAGGATATCGGTCGCCATTCGTCATATACACACTATAGCACCGTGTTGAAACCCTCGAACTGTTTCTCAACACATATGTTTGATTTTCTTTGTAATACAGAAAAACAGCAACTCATCAGGCTTGGTCGATGTTTTGAACTGGCTTTCTGTCTGTTGACATGCAAGTGTGCAAATGGAGTTGATTTTCATGCAAAAAAAAAAAAGGTCTAATATCATTAAGTGGCTTTGACACGTCTTACTTTTTACGCTTCGATGACGTAAAGGTTTGTGGTTTATGATGTTTTCTCTTCAGCAGGAAAACGAGGTGGATGGAGCAGCAACAGAGGGCGAACCGGTCATGACTGAGGATAATGTGGTAACTGTTGTAAGCCACACACCAAGCCTCTCTCAGCCCAAAGGAAATGATCCACCTGAACTACTGACCAATGAGATCATCGTGGACAAAGGTGACAGACATAGATCTTCCTGACACTGATGTTTATGTGTACATGAATGTACATCCAATGCATTTTGTGTGACTTTAAGTCAACTTGTGTACATTTGCAGTAACAAGTGTTCACCCTCACGTTGCACTTTGCTTCCTCCCTTCTTATGTACCAGATCCCGATGCCCCAGTAGACCTGGCTCCACAGAAGGACCTCTCCAAAGCAGAGTCCCAGTCTGCTCCCTCAGCTGCTGCAGTCAAGCAGGACATTTTGCTACCACCAGAGGAAGCTGTCGAAACAGAGGAGGGCGAGGCTGAGACCGGGGGACCTTTGAAGAATAACCTGACCGAGGATAAAGAGATGGCGGTGATGGATGCTCATGAGGAGGGCGCTCAGACCGAAGGTAGAGGGCCCGGTTCACTGAAAGCAGTGAACTACTTTGTTATTGCTATTCAGGCACTCTCAGTGATGAGGTGACATTTTACTGGACATAAACAACAATTCTGTCATGTCCCCAGAGGCAGACCCTGGGATGGACGGCATGCTGATTGGCCGGGAGAAGGCGGATGAGACTCCTATTGGTCGGAAACTTGAGGAGCCAGAAGAATATGATGCAGACGAGCAAGTCGTGGGTGAAGTTGATTTGGAGAAACAACAGCATAGTAAACATGCTGAAAATATAGGTATGTGTGTCTTAATATAATTAAAACTGAATGTGTGTGTGTGTGTGTGTGTGTGTGTGTGTGTGTGTGTGTGTGTGTCTAGAGAGAGTGAGTACATCCTCAGTGTCAACTTTGGGGTTTGTCAAAGTGCAGTTGACTCTGAAGACCAGAGCATAGGTTTGAGTGAGGGATAGTTATTTACTGGTAAGGATGAAGAAATAGAGGCACTGTGCTAAAAAGTCCTTTGTATGTATTTTGTGTTGATTAGCACGTTGTACTTTGTGATAGACAAGGACATGGAGGAGGAGCTGGCGGACTATAACGGAGATGATGAGAATGAAGGCGAGTTTGAAGCGGACAAACAAGCTGAGCTTGCTCAAATCTAAGGTACACACTAAAACACACACAGATGTGTTCCTCACCGACAGTAACTTGCTTTCTTGTTCTTCATGTTTAGACATTATCATAAAACTCAACAAGTCACACATTGTAATTGCAGAAAATCCCTGAAGTATCAAGCTGATGTCTGAGTAGATTGTTTATCTCAGTTGTGTATCGATCATCGTGGGGCTGCTGCTATGTAGGTTCAGTTAAACTGCTATTTTCAGAGGTTTGAAACAAGACGTTTGTTTGTGCAAAGATAAATCTGATTTGTGTAAAGCGATACTGCAGCTGCCTGCTGCTGAACCAGCTGTACACACACAGGTGATGGATGCGGACTCTACATAATAATGGTGTGTCTTCACTGTTCTTGTTTTCCTTGGGGAATAGCAACTAAGGAAATAAATCTGGTTTCAGATGTTCCAGTTCAGCTGACTGTATCATTAACACAGCTTTTACTTCTGGACATTGGTAATGTTCCTTTAGACACGAACAATGCGCTCAATGGCATTTCTTATTTCTTATGCAGCTCGTTAGATCTTTCACCAGTTTTAATGTAGGCCTGCTGTGAACACTCTGCAGCTATATATTAAATATAAACACAGGTATGCTTGTGTAATTAACACAATATTGATTTTTTTTTTTTTTGCAGAGCTGGAGCTGGACAAGGAGCCCCTCATTCACCTCAGCACAACATAAGCATACAGGTTAATGCAGCCCGCCAAACACAGTGAACACAAAATAACCCACAGATGGTAATCTCCATAGAAAGTCTTGTGACGGTTCATTTCAAAAGCATTTACTTCCTGGAATATTTTTTTAAAATTTATAATCTTAATTGTTTTTCGTGCATTTGATTTGATGAAATGTTTTCTGAATTAGAGAAAGAATATTTACCACTCTATCTTTAACTCACAATATTCTGAAAGAGCCACAAAAAAAATAAGACTGAAATATGCAAATGTCAGCCCAGCGTGAACACTCATGGCGTCCATTCACATGGATTTCACTGAAAACATAAACCCCCCGCGGTGCTTTTATGGTGGTACACTGTGCTCACATTCATTTCAGCATGTTTAGGTGATATGGAAGTACTCAGTACTTCTAAGTACCATCACCTACTTGGTTCTAGTGTTCCCTAAACACAACTTAAGACATCTCAAGACTCAAAAATGAAAATGACCACAAACCTTGGAAATCAGTTGATTTTGATTACGTGGCTAGAAGTGTTTATGTTCACTCTGTAAAGACTGTATCTTAAATGATTAAATATAAGTGAGGATAATCTGCACACCCTCACAGGGTCATGAGGTGTGAAGTACTGTAGTAAGTGCAAACCATCGCAGTGACAGAACTCTGCAGTACAGGCTCAACAGCATCTCAAACAACGCCTTAAGTTCCTCCTGTTGCTCGTAGAAAGGATACTGACTTTGGCTCAGTGGTCAGTCTGACAGTGAACACAAATGAGGCCTTCCATAACTGCAACAAATTAAGGAATTGTGTCCCAGTCAAACGGGAAAATGAAAACAGAAGCTTCTTTTGCTTCCCACGTAGCCAGAAGTGCTGTGAAAAGTAAGTAAACATACCGTATTATAATATTATAATTATAATTATAGAGTAGCGTTTTAACGGCAGCATGGCTTTTCTTCTCAGCATGTATGAATGTGAGCAACATCTGGGATCAGTAAAACAGAAGGTACAGTTTCAGATTATAATGAAGGGAATAGTTTGGAACTCCTTGATGATATTAGTGCGTCATGAATCTCATTTGTTATGCCTTATTGATTCTGTGTACACCACCGCTGCGGTCGGCTGCTTCTGACACATTGGAGGTGGATTGTGGGGCCGTGGTGGTACATGCGTACTGATTTTGGACCTTTTACTTTGTGGATACTGCCTCTGGTCTGCTGATTTCAGTATTGTGTTGTGCTTTAGGGCGAACATTGTGTGGGTGAGTGCAAACACAGACTGATATTAGGCATTAAAAATGACAAAATGATGAAATGTTGTGGCGGGATCTTTTGTTGCCTTGTGTTTTATACAGGACAGATGATTTTACTTTATCTTTCCCCGTACTTTATTTATAATTGGTGACTTTGACAGAATACCCACAGTTACTTAACTTGTTGTGGTTTTAATTGCCATCATTTCCATAATGCTTTGACTTATCATCGACAGTCTGTTCATGAATCATGTATGTTTTCCAACACCTTCATCACCGCTGTGTCGAGCTAAGGCTGAAGCTAAATCTCACAGAATCTACTTATTATACGAGTAAACATGAGTTTTACCAACATGTGCTGAATTCTAGCAAACTATCTACAATAATAAAATGCACGAGACTTAGTTTCCCCTTTCATGTAAAAGTTCAGACATTTTATCTTAATAATGACATATTTGAGCTACAGAATATATATTAAAGATTGTTGACAGCGTGAAGACTCTTCAGGTAACTTTCTTTGAGGAACACAAATTGAAAGAAATGTGTGATTTATGATTACAAACTTTTTCCAGTCAGCATTCTTATTATCATTTCAAAGATAATTTCACACCTGTAGTAGTGTCAATTTTGTTAACTTATTTTTGTATTTTTTAATCATGATTATTTTATTGAATCCGGGCCCGGCCATCATGTTTCTAAGTAACCGTACAAATACAGGATTGGAGTTCTGATGATACACAAAGGGGTTCAAACAAGTCGCAAATCAGCACTTTTGTTTCAACTAATGAAGCTCAAAGTCATTCGTGTCAAAGTGTCTTTTGTCTCTTTGGTAAATCTTTCAGGACAAATGTGGTTTGAGATTTTTATTGTCATTTTATTTGCAAAGTTGCTGTTATGGGTGGTGTTGTCTGTTGTCTGACACTGCAAAATGTAAACTGCTTTTTGTCAGAAAGCTTTTCTGTGTAAGAAGTACCTTTTTCTGTGTCTATGTACGTGTAGAGAAAATGTTTTTTGATATTTCTAAATTTGATTCACTTTTTTTTTTCTTGATTTAATTTGTTTGATTTGTTTTTTGTAATTTTATTTCATTCTACAATGTGGAACAAATGTGTAAAATGTTGAAATGATCATTAGTTTTATTGATGATAGAGAATAAAACACGTTTTATTACCACTATCAAGACAAGGTTTCATGTGGGATTGATTTCAACGTGTGGTTGTACCAATGCAGGGAAGCTTTATTTAGTGTCAGAGTTTTTATGACAAAGAAAAGTAGTAGAATATTTTAAAACAATGAAGTGAAAACTATTACTTAGAATACAAAATAATAGTAAAAATGATGACTTGGTCTTGCAGGTCTGTTTGTTAATCCATGCATTTCCAAATGCTCATAATAGACCGGGAGACATTTTAAAATGATCAAAGGCCAGGGAGTAGAAAGGGAGAGAAAGAAAAGAGTACAGATGGAAAGAAGCAAACGAGGGAAAACTCGAGAGAAAGCGAAACGTTGTTGCGGTATTTTGCTTCCTTCACACTCTGTATCTATCTCTATAAACAAGGCCTAACGCCGAGCAATACAAAGATACGTGATTCAGTTTCTGAAAATAGAAGTTACTTTCATAATTTGTTGTTTTAAACCCTCAGAAGCCAAAACCACCGGCAGTCTGAGGTGACACACGTGAGAATGATGAACCTGGTAGTGATCACCACAGTGATGGAACCACAACATGTGCCTTTAAAGCTGGTGTAGAAAGTCAAATACTTTTCAATCATCAAAATCATTTTCTTAATTATTTCGTTCTAATCTCACCTCTGATGTGATGCAGGCTCAGCTGTGGATTATAACAATGTCTCATGTGTAATGTCAGCATCTCTGTAAGTGGGCCAACTACAGGAAGTGTGTTGATGAGTAAACCTCACAGATGTCAGATATCTCTTTTCATAATCACCTGCCGTATGAATTTAATTTCATGTTGACGTAGTTCACTTTGGAATTAAACTGGAGATTAAAGGTGTGATCAATTTAAAGTATTGTTACGGTTATTTTTGTAATTAACAATGGGAAGGTAAAATAAACTTTTCTTTACTGAGACGAACAAAGTGTATTTGGGAGCACTGTGCTATCTATGAATAAAACCATCCAGAGTTCATCCGTTATCTCTTCAGTATATCTGAATATCTAATGTCTGTGAAGACACTATTCCACTGCTATTCACTACTTCAGGGTACACTCCTTTATTTGTTATAGCATCCTATAACAAATAAACTATAACATAATATTGGTGCATATCTCAATGCTTCACTTATGAATGCAACACAATACCTTATTTAGACTTAAGAGAAATTTACATAACCTGTTTATTAGTGAGTGAATTTCAGAAATTGCACATCTATATCAATTTGTTCATGAGGTCGCTCACTTTGCTAGATGTCTAAACACAATTAGAACTAGAGTGAGAGCGAGGACTTAAATGACAGAAGAAGTAAAGACATGTTTTATTATGATATGTGTGACAGCTGGTTTGAGGAAGCAGTGCAGAAGGCTCCTTGGCCTGTAAAGTATCTCCACCACTGCTGTTTGTTGTGTATTTTTAATCTCTTACGTGTGTTTTTCCTCTGCACAAGATAATTCACATTGTGTGCGGTTGTTCTCACAGATTGTCCCGTCTCGGGTTCACAATAGACGGATGCAGATGAAACTGGTGCTGAAGTAAAACAAGATGCTGTAGTCCTCCCACGCTCAACACTTTCATTCAAATAAGCACATAAATACATAGAAACGTTCCATATGATTGAATGATATGCACTCATTATCATTACAGCTCCTCTTTTAAAGCCTTCACAAAACAGTTCAGGGGGCAGCTTAGAAACAATCGACTTGTGTCCGACTCATGTACACACACACGCACACACATTTTCACAGATGTGGATATTGTCAGTCATTTAGGTCCAGGTGCGAGTTCTCTGGTCTGGTTTCATCTCTCGTTCGGGTGAAAAACAGAATCGAGCGTATCAAACACTCCTTTACACAACTTAACCGTTCGCTGTATCTCACAGACACACACCGGGTCAGGGCCATCGCACACTTGTTCAAGTGAGGGTGTGGTCTTTGCGGCTGATGGTCGTTATGATGACATAATAATCAACCCCCGAGCACAATCAGATAATCTTGACCACAGGAAAGTACTTGTGAGCTGAGAAGTCAAATTCTGGGAGCACCTAGAGATGCAGAAAAGTAAAGTATGTCAACAAAGTGTTCACAACATGGAACATTAACCAAGATAAACATAAAAATCACAATCCACGACCGCCACAGAACCAAATGATAATCCGTTCATTGTGTGTGTCGTGTTACCTTGGTCTCCTTCTTGTGGCCTCCAGCCAGGAGCTTCGTGACTACGATGTTGGGTTTGGCCACCTTCAGTATACGGTTCACCTGTTTTCAATCATTAACTGTTAGTGATAGTTCAGAAAAGGCAAAAACTAGAGTACAAACAAACCATTTAACTCAGTTTAGAGCAATACAGCAGAAAAATACTAAGCCCATAAAACTGAGGCTATGCTTTTGAATGATTGAATGGTTTGAAATGCTGTAGTCCCAAATGATTTACCAAAAAGTAGCAAAAGTCTAGGTGAGAAAATCTTTTCAAGAATAGATTTTGGAGCTGGGGACACTGAAAATAGAACAATATGCAACATTTCCTTTCACAGTAGGCATTTATTAAAAAAAGAGTAAATTTTCCTTACCTCGGGGTCTGGACAGGGCACATTTTCTAGGATGAGCTTGGCCTGCTGGAAGTGTTTGCTGGCGGCCATGTACAGGTCAGCGGAGCCTGGCGGAGGATTGTACTTCCTTAGATCGGACATCTCCTGGAGAGGGCAAGAAGGGCAAAGTCAGAGAGGAGAGGAACATCCAACAAAAGGAAACAATTTGAAAAGGAAAGGTGACGGGAATGTGATGAGGAAAAGGGGAGAAAGGACAAGAATAATGAACAGCACCTTGAACTGGATGTAGTGCACGGGTGGGGGCGTGACCACGCTGTTGAAGGGAGCGAAGCGATGCTCGTAGCGAACTTGCTCGCTGTCCAACTCAAACTGAGGCTTACGCATCTTCCCGTCCATATCCAAAGCTACCATAGTCTGAGGAGAGACACAGAGGATCGATGCTACAGCAGTGTATATCCAATAGGAGAGGAGAGGGCTCCAAAGTGTGTCTGTGCTGGTGTTCCTACCTTGTACATGCCAGCACACATGTTCTGGTATGCTTGGCTCATGGTGATCTCCTTGCTGAGAGGACGAACTGCAGAAGAAACCCGAACATCACATCATTATTAGGACGAGCACCCACCGTACAGGAGGATCGCCCTCTTCATTTGTGGTCATGCTCTCACCTCAGCCACAGAGGCTACGATAGAGTGTACCTTTTTTCTTCTTCTTGGTCTTTTTGCTGCTGCGTCCTTTCACCTGCTCCTCCGTGATCCGCTCCTCTGCCATCTGAGAGGAGTCGGCTCGGCTCAGAGTGGACATCAGCCACGCGTAGAGGAACTCAGACAGGTACCTGCAGTCGGAAACAAACAGGTGTTCATTCACAGATGATTAGAAGGGAGCACGCTGAGATTTAGAGTTACCAGGAACAAACAAACCAGCGCGTGTGTGTGTGTGTGTGCGCGTGTGTGTGTGTGCGTGTGCTCTCACCAGTAGATGTAGTAGTACTCGTGCATGCTGTACAGCTCTAGTTCAAAGCCGCTCAGCAGGTACTGGATCATGATCCTCAGGTTATGGTAGAGGATCCAGGTGCCAAGACAGGCTAGATGCTGTCGCTGAGGCTCAAGCTTCATCAGCAAGCTATGCAGGGCTGCATCCACCTTCTCCGCCTGCAGAGCACACAAGAAGAATTTAGCAGTTGGTTTATGAATTATAGAACCACACCTGTCCTCAGAGTAGGTGACATATTTCTGCCTAACTTGTGTGGTGCAATGATGCAAAAAACAGTGGTGTTGTGTTTGAGTATCAGAAAAAAAAAAAAAGGAGGAATACGACAGAGGAAACAGCTGCGCTTCACCTCGTCCTGCAGTGTGGCGAACTCTTCAAGAATGTGACCCAGCTTGTCTCTCTGTCGAGCTCGGTTGTGTCCGTGGATCTGGATCAGACTGCAGAACGGCTGCAGGGAGAAGTGACAAGACGCAAACAAATAAAACACACAGCTCCCACTTGTCTATTCATGTTGGGGGCTAATGATAGACAAGCCTTTCAGTGTTCCACCCAAATTCCACTCCACATCTCTCCACCTCAGCTATTCACTTATAATTCTACTACTCAAACAAACTGAAAACATCCCATAAAGTTCACAAAGCGAACCACACGCACCAGACTAGAACTTTAAGCAGTGACGGTAACATACCCTGGAGCAGTGCGTAACAAAGGAGTCACTGTAATCCTTGGCCTGGTGGTTGTTGAACAGACAACACCTGGAGGGACACACACACACACACACACACACACACACACACACACACACACACAATATGAGCTTGAGACAGCTGATCGAGACACAATGAGCTCAAACACACCCTTTAAATACCATAAAAATGTGAATGAGCATTAAATGAGTCTTACTTGTAGGAGAGGACCGGTGGGCTGACGAAGTATCTCAGAGCATCTTTAATCATGTCCTGCATCAGGTGGGTCCCAAACACTTTCTTATTATCGATCAGGAACGTCGTCTGGATTTAGGAAAACAAGTCCCCTTTAGTTCTCACACACCTGGTGCTACAGGGATACGTTTTTAATTATGAGATTATATGATGTCATCTGAAGGTGTTATTCGTTGTTACATGTATACAAACCACCTTACTCTGTAGGCATCAGAGGGAAAAAGCAGCGACTCTTCAGAATCAATTATTAACTCACCTGGAGTAGAGATCTGGAGAGGACACAGGGAGACTGCTCACTGAACTCACAGAAGAAGTCCTGAAGAAAACACAAACACACTCTACATAATGTTTCAATTCATATGCTTTTATCATGTATAATGACCTAGAAAGCATGCGTATGTATGGGGGAGATGACCACTTCAGAAAAAGTAATTTTGAACTAAGCAATCCAACAAACAGAGAAAAGGCTACGGGTTCAGACAGCAGAGTAAGAGGTGGAAATGTGTTTACCAGTATGCCATGCAGGTTG